AGCACCAGTGTAACAACATTGTATATTAAGAAAATTACAGACAAACATTTAGCTGGTTTAAGGGGTCATGTGGGCAGTTATGATAGTGTAGTGTGGAAAGGTTTGACTAATGATTTTAAACTTACTGGTTTTTCCAAATGTCATATTGTGGTAAGTGAAAGTTTAAAGCAATGTTATATTTTAGCTTTCATATGACTTTATTTTTCCAGCTGTGGTCAGTGATCTGAAGTTGCTGTTTCATGTCCATAAACATGATGAAGTACATTTATATTTTATTGTTATTATTTAGCAAAAACTGATTGTAAAACAAAACTAAATGGAATCTAAAGATGTGACAAATGTGTAAATAAACACTAATGTTAAAATGAGTGAGCAGTGATTTCCCATCTACCGGCTCTAGCTGGGATAGGCTGCAGCCCCCCAGCGACCCCGACAAGGAAAAGTGGAAGAATATGGATGGGACAATGATTCCTTTGATGATTTGAGTAACAAATACTGAGAAGGAAAAATGTGTTTCATACACCAACAGTGTGAGCAAACTCTCATGGTGTATGTTGGTGAATTACAATTACATATATTTGGTGTTATTATTAACCTCTGTCTCTCTTCCACAGCATGTCTTTATCCTGTCTTCCTTCTCTCACCACAACCAATCACAGCAGATGTCCCCGCCCCTCCCTGAGCCTGGTTCTGTCGGAGGTTTCTTCCTGTTAAAAGGGAGTTTTTCCTTCCCACTGTCGCCAAAGTGCTGCTCATAGGGGGTCATATGATTGTTGGGTTTTTCTCTGTCTGTATTATTGTAGGGTCGACCTCACAGTATAAGGCGCCTTGAGGTGACTGTTGTTGTGATTTGGTGCTGTGTAAATAAAACTGAATTGAACTGACCAGGCTGAAAGGGGGGAGAGAGAGAGAGAGGGAGAGCCTGCAAGAAGGGTCTGGCGCTGCTGAAGGCCAGGATGGTGGATGGACGTCCTACAGAAGAGGCTGATGAGGCTCAGAGAATGAAACATGTTAACAGACTTTGATGTCATTAATAGGTATACGCCTACTTACCAACTTTTGACCCTGTGGGGTTGACAGACGCACCAGCGCGTCCAAATCACATGACCAATTTAAGATGACATTTCAACAAGTTGCTGTCTGCAGTTCAACTTCTGTTGAAACTGGACTTCAAACTAAATGCTAATGTTTCTTCCTGATTTCTATCGTCACCTTCACTGCGGGAAGAAACTGTAAAAATTGTGTTTCCTAAGGCCAAAGCTATCGAGCGCTCTTTGCTTGTGGCCTAAATAAATGTCAAACAATCAAAAAATGACATGGCAACATGTGGCAATTGGTTGTATAGGAAGAGGGAGAAGTTTTAGGGGTGAGGGCGGCGAGAGAGAAATTTAGACTGTGCCACTGTTTCTGTGCCATATTGAATGATCTGGTTCATTTAAAATAAAGCAAATAATGATTGAACCTCAACCAAGTCAATGCCAAACTGTGCACGAGGGCTTTTCGCAGTGCAGGAGAGTACGTTTGATTTGAGAGATTTTTGTAATTTTACAGTTTTAAGCAAAGATGCATTTGATGATAATATGCACATTAAAGTGTGCAATTCAGTTTTGGCCTCCATAAAGTAAGAAAAAGAACGATAAGAATATAGGCCAGACAAATTTAAGCAGCCTGAGTTTGTTCAGTCATTATCTGAAATACAGCTATGGATCTTACACAAATTGCATCGTTTGTGTGATTTACTCTGCCTCACAGAAACCTGACAGCAGAATGACGATGTTAGTTAAACTCACTCAGGTGTTGCTGCTGAATATTCCATGCTTGGCTTTGACAGTCTGCACCACAATGTTTTCAAACACCGGTGTGCAATGAATCTTGGGATAGGATACACCTGACCCATCCTTTAGATCTGGGGGAAAGGAGGACACCTTTGTGTGTCATATGTGGAGTAGCCTTCAATTCTTCAATGTGAGGCCCTCAAACTGGGCCTACAAAAGGATGTGGCCCCTGACTCTGGCCCGTATCCTCATTTGAATCTGTCTGAAACAAGTACTTTATAGTTACGTGAGGAACAAAAGATCTGACTGTCATATTACCTTTTGTCTGCAGTCCCCGGCTTCCCTTATTATACTCTCCTATTTCAGAGACCCGTGCTCTAGTTCCACGCACCATGCGCGTTCCCCTCCTGTCTAGTTTCCACCTGTGTGTATTGTAATTAAAGTCTCGTCAAACTTGAGTCCTGCTGTCTGTATCTGCGCCGAGCTCCAGGTTAGGTACTGGCCTGCTGTGACATCTCCCTGCATACAATGATACTTTTTCATTATTGCTTCTGACTACTCAGCCATCTAAAAGCTGACGTGTATCGTAAACCTACACATACAGATCAGTATTTAAGGCTTGAGTTGAACAATAACTTCCACATTTTATATTTTTGTGTCAGAAAACTTCAGAGTTTCTAAAATCTGAGTTGACTGTTCTGGAGAAGAAGAGGAGATGCAGTGACACCCCCATGATGTTTCTTCAGGAGATCGTCAGTGCAAATGTTCCTGGTCTGCTCCTGTGAATGTGACTGTCAAAGTGTGCCATTATTTATGGGGAAATAATGTAAAAGTGTTCAGTCGCTCAGGTCCTGCTCTGAGACTGAGAAGCTTCACTTGTCTGTGAACACTTCACTCTGTTGCTCCATCAGTGGCAGGAATAGTTAGAGTCACATATATTTAGACAGTGACACAAGTTTTGTTTTTTTACCTGTTTATTCCAATTATAGTTATATGATGGACATGAACATAATGTGTAGACTGTCAGCTTTCATTTGAGGGCATCCACATTCAAATGGGACGAAGGGTTCGGGAGTTTCAGCTCCCTAAAATGTGCCAACCTCTTTTTAAAGGGACCAAATGTAATTGGACACCTAACTCAAAGGCTACTTGATGTGCAGGTGTGGGCAATTCCTCTGTTATGTCATTATCAGTTAAGCAGATTTAAAGGCCTGGAGTTGATTTGAGTTTTCGTGCTTGCATTTGAAAGATTTTGCTGTGAACAGACAACATGAGGTCAAATGAGCTCTAAGTGCAGGTGAAACAAGCCGTCCTTAAGCCGGGAAAACAGAAAAAAACTATCCAAGAACTTCCTACAATATTCAGAGAGGCAGAATCTTTGAGAAAGAAAGAAGGCACTGGTGAACTCAGCACCTGAACATCCACACAAGACAACAGTGGTGGATGATCGCAAAATCATTCCACGGTGAAGCCAACCAAGTGAACAACACTCCAGGAGGTTGTACCGATATCCAAATCTACCATAAAGAGAAGACTGCATGAAAGTAAACACAGACAGTTCACTGCAAGGTGCAAGACACTCATACACAGGGATGGGTATTGATACGATTTTCATGATTCCATTTTCGATTCTGTTTAACGATTCGATTCTTTATCGATTCTTTTAAAAAAGGAGAACACTAAGGTCGATTAGCTTAGAACTGTGTTTTATATCTTCTCTTTGAACAAGACAGAAATGTAGGAGTAACATGGCCTTACAAACCCAGCAGTGAGATCTTAAGAGATCCAGCCTACGGCTCTTCAATGGGGCGTCACAGGGTCCCCAGGAAAAAACATTGTAAATGTAAAATAATAAAATAAATATTCTTCTGTAGCAATAACAAAGTATAACATAAATTATTCTGTAGCAATTACACAAGAATATCCAGTAATGTCCC